CAAGCACCATATGGGATGACCAAGAATGTGCCCGATCCATATTTATACAACCGTTATGGGTGTTCTCGTACCACATCAGAGTCTCGAAGCACCTTTGAGCTTCTCACTTCTTTTGGCGGTTGGTTAGTTTCAAAGCCCTTCTGCGGACGGATACAAGACACACAGACCGGCACACATCCATGTGCCGACAAGCTAACATACCAATGTTGTGACCTAAATACAATAAACTGATTTCGCTCCCATCTATGTGGGCGTTGAGTTCGAAAATATAAATAAATGTCAGTTGTAAAAGCAAAGTTAACTGCTAAGGACCTTCGGGAGTGTGATGGTATGGGCAGTTGTTGAACAAATATCATTGATTGTCGCCTTTTACCTTTTGTTTCCGTGATAAAAGCAGGAGCGATCATGGGAAAGGCTGCAACATTTTCCGAAAGCGGAAAGCGCATTCAAGTTTAAACAGCTCAGTTGCCAGGTTAATATAATAATTTGTCTTCCGCGGCCTGTGAATTAGCAATGCTGGAATGTTCCGGAAATTGCCAAGAAATTTTTTGTTGGAAAGCCTACAATTATAGCTTGCTGAAATCTCAAAATAATTTAGTAAGATCAATATGAATAACGCCCTTAGTACATATGGATGCTACCAGGTGAACTATATCGTTGTGGTGCTCACTGTAGACTGCAGACGAGGGGAGCACAACCGTTTTCCCAAAGCCACCCATTGGTAGTATGTCTAGGACCGGAGAATTCTTTCTCTTGTTTCGCCATTAGACATAATCTTTGACGTTTCTGATGGGTTTTTTCAGTCAGCCCGCGAGAAGACTCACAAGAGCAGTGCGGAAAGAGTCAAGAAAAATGGTTCGGAAGAAGCCCCTAAAAGTACTGATTCGGAAGAGAGGTCGAAAGAAGGTGGTTCCGGTGAAAGGGTGATTGTTGAAGAGAATATGAGGAGAGCTCGTGAAAGAGAAAAACAATCGAGAGCTAGAATGGACAATCTGAAGACAGGGCGAGAGACTACACAATATTTGAAATCGGTGGAGAAACGGTTGAAGCCTAGCTCAGACGGTGTCAAAAAATCTTCTTCAAAAGAAGCCCAAAAGAGTAGCGATTCGGCCGAGAAATCGCAAGAGGATGGCTCCGCTGAAAGGTTGAGAAGGATCAGTTCTGCGGAGAAAATGAAGTTCCCTGGTTCTGCAGAAAAAGTTATGAAACCTTATCAAAAAGAAAAGCCTGCCAAAAGTAGGGCAGACAATTTGAAAACAGGTAGAGAAGTTGCAATGCCGAGGCGCCTAAAGTCAACAGATAATGTGACGAAGAAATCAAAACTCTGAATGGAGAGGTAACTTTTTGATCCTTTATGTCATAAATTACACTTAAGCATGGCAGTTGGATGTCTTTATATGTAAAAGAAAAAGGCGATGGTGTCGATTTTGAGCTTCATTGTTCGCCCGCAAGATAATTGCGTAGCAAGAAGAATGAACGACCTTCAGAAGGAAGCTGATCAGTGCGGCACTGTGGATATGATAGGATTTCTCAACTAAGCTTCATGATTGAGAGTTGCGTCAGTTTCGAAACTGTGGTATCGGTTTCGTAGAGCCGACATCTTTGTTGGGTTCTGGGCGTATTCTATGGAGTTTCCTTATCATCCTAGAGCCATGAACTCGGGAGACCTGGATTATTGCACGGCCTAAGATTGAGAGATGTTTCTGATGGCTGATTCACAAACAGTGGTCAAGCCTGAATTTGATTGCTTTCCACCGCCTTCCGGACTATCCATCCATGTTGCTTTCACAGTCGATTGGCAGAAACCCACCACTTTTCGTCGGCAGTAGCGGCGTTGTCCAGCCACCTTGTAAGGGTGGAAAAGTAGCGAATATGCAGAGTGACTCTCGTGCACTCTCCTTATTACTGGTCAGCTCATTAAAATTTCTTTATCCGAGCTCACAAGTTCATAAAGGAGACGTCTGAGTGTGGCGGCCACATGGCAAAATAACCCGTGCGGGTTGGCTTAAATGGAGGGCATCGATCGGACATCGATTGCCTTTTTCGTTGACTGGGATCTCTCTACAGGTTAAGGTTCTCCTGGACGTAGGAGATATAAACATTTTTAGTACGGGGAAAGATCTTGGCTTCCGATTCTTTGTTCTAACAAGGGAAGGATGGTAGGTCGAAGTGGCCGTTTGAAATGAAATGTATACCTCCTGATGCGTCTCCAGACGCTGATTCCAAATCTGCCTTCCAAATCTGCTAAACGACTCTCCGAACGGAGTTATGAAGCGTAATAGCTCAGTGGTGATGGTCCGGGGTGGCAGGTAAAAGCTCGTAGGATCGGTTCCTTTGCAAGTTTGTTGCTTTGCTTTTGTCCGCAACACTTCTAGAGACAAAAGCAAAGCAACCAATTTGCAAAGGAACCGATCCTACGAGCTTTTACCTGCCACCCCGGACCATCACCACTGAGCTATTACGCTTCATAACTCCGTTCGGAGAGTCGTTTAGCAGATTTGGAAGGCAGATTTGGAATCAGCGTCTGGAGACGCATCAGGAGGTATACATTTCATTTCGAACGGCCACTTCGACCTACCATCCTTCCCTTGTTAGAAAATTACATATAGCCTGAGTTGGGCAATAAACATGGCTCTTCTCTTCTTCTACTCTAAAACCAGCGGGAAGCAGCTAGAGCGGGTACGATTTGTTATATAGGTCACTTCATGTTCACTTAGTAGCCTACTTGATCATATCCAAAAATCGCTAAAAAAAATTTGGTGCGAGGTGCAAAAATTCTACGCGACTATTTGGGACCCTGATACTTGGAACCCGTTGTTGTTTTTGTTTGCTCGTTATGTTCGACTATAGTCGAGCCAGCGACAAAGAAAGAGGTCGTCTGAAAAGAAAGGTCAAACCGAAAAGCGATTTGTAACTCCCTTCCATCAATAGATGGGAGTAGCGCTGTCTCAGCCTCACAGAAAACGTGAACGCTTCTTTTAAGAGAACATTGATTGATTGGAAGTGTTGCGCAATTGACAACTTTTTTGCAGTGAATGAAACTGGCGTGAACTTCAGATATCTCAAGTAACATTCTTCAATGCACCACTTAATGATTTCACAAAATTTTAGTTGTAAATAAAGTTTCGATAAGGAACTTGGTTGTTGATCGTCGAATGCGGTTTTCCTGATTAACACGTTGACGACAGGCTGACGCGCAAGCGCGTCAGACATTTGGCACCGCATTGGACATTCTGACGCGCATGCGCGTCAGCATCTTGGTACCATATTTTTCCCGCGCATGTCCGACTTCCGAAATTTTTTATCACTATTATATAGACAATACATCATCATGCCTGTAAACGGTGTGGTCCATGAAGCGGTCAAATATGTTTCAGTTAAGCGAAGGTTTTCTGAACCTCACTAAGTTTTCCGTTTATTTTAATCCCGACTACTATTTTGGGGTAAACAAGCATAAAAACAAAATATAAATGCAAACAACAATGTGATACATAATGTAAAGGAATTACGGTTCTATGAGATGACTTGTGTTTTTCATTGAAGCAGTCTATACAAAAGAATTTCGACATCTTCTGCTGCGCATTTTGACCCATTTTTTTTTGAGGCCGCGAAGAGATCTTTAGCAATGGTTGCATAATGTGCCAAACACTTTGTGCTATTAATTCCTTTTGAACCTTTACTTACTTTTTCTGACATCTGCCACGTGGGAAGCAACTGGCTTGGGAAGCATTCATGCTCAACGTTCAGCAGTCATTCGACCACTTTCTTGGAGTCATATCCGGGAGATAGTGTGAACATGCACATTCTAGGCTCCACGCGTGTATTCAAATCGCATGACCCTCCTTCTCTCCCATCCCCCGAGCTGGCTATACCCCAGGCTCATGGATTCCTTATTCTGCATTGATGTCATCGCTAGTATTTCGCTGAGAGGGTAGAGACAAACAGCGTGCGTCTTCACCGGAAGCCCTCTCCCCAATTAGCGTGTACCACTTGTTTTGCCCCTTTCCAAAAAGTAGTTCTGAAAAAGCGCCAACCTCGCTGGAACAGCTGACGCGCTTGCGCGTATCAGGCAAATCGCGCCGCCAAAGCGCCATGTCGATGCGCGGAAAACCGGGTGTCCCCCAACAGGCCCACCGCGCGGCGAAGCAAGAGACGCAGACGCGGCAAAGGGACGAGTCGCAGCGCATACTGTAGCGGTTAGGCGTCAGGTTAAAGAGAGTGTACCATACTACGTCTCATATCGCACAGCACGCGCTGCAACTCGTCTCTTTGCCGCATCTGCGTCTCTTGCTTCGCCGCGCGGTGGGCCTGTTTGGGGGACACCCGCGGAAAATGCCAAAACCTCGCGCTGGCCGTCCAACGTGTTAGGTAGCCTGAAAAGTAACGTAGTTTTTCCTCGTATGAAAACCTCTTCAATAATTTTCCATGTTTTTGCTCAACATATTTTAGAAAGAGAAGTGTCTACATAACAAGGCTGTTCATTTATTTTCTACACCAGTTGGCGCCGCACGCATTGCGCGCACAGCACAGTTCTGCGGCGATATAGGATGGTGCGGCGTGAATTTTCGAATTTGGCCCAATACACTTCGAATATTTGACTTTCAAGCTGAATTCTATCCGATTGCCCCATGCTTCATCCACCGATGGCTTTTGAGCTTCCCTCCTTCCACCAATTGTCCGTAATCGTCAACCAATTGTCCGTTTTTCCCGGCCTCGGACTGCCTCCGGACCGATTTATGAACCTCGTGGTAAACTCCGCCTATTTCTTTGCATGTCCCACCTATCTTTTTCTTCCTCGCCAACCTCTTCCCACTTTTTTACCCGATCTCTGAACTATCTCTGAGCCGATTTATAATTTTGGCGGCGAATCCTGCTTTTTTGGTGTATCCTCCGCACACCATTAGAAATTCACTTCCTTTCCTTCGCCCACTTCTCTCCGGTCTTCAGGACTTCTTGCAGCCGAGTCACAAAGTTTTGTGGAGAACTCCGCCCACCTTGGAAATGCCCCGCCCACCAACAGCAGTTGGGCTCCACTCTTCACCCACCTCTATCCACCTTTTTCCGGTCTCCGGACTTCTGGAACCAAGTTATGAAATTTCGTGAATAACTCCGCCACTTTGTCCACGCCCCTCCACGATGACAGTTGTCTCCATTCCACCCCCCCCCCCCCCCCCCCTACCCATATATCACCTCTTTTCCAGTATCCATGACTCTTCGAACCAAGTTGATGATTTTGAACGGACACTTCGACCTACCTGCCTTCATTGTCCCCACCAACCGAATGACTTAAAGGACGAATTTACGATGGAAAAGCAACCCATTCCAAATTGAGGTAGAGATGGTGAGTAGTACCAGAAAGAAAGCGAAACCACGAAAACGGCCCAGAACCGGAGAAATGGGACCCCTTCCTTGCCCGTTGATTTGAGCATTGATGCGACTCTCATCGCTGTGCCCTCTTCAACACTACGCTCTCTCAGCTATCTAATCACTCGCCACCTATTGAACTACGGCGAGTGATCAGACGATCGGTGGGCGGAGATCGCCGAACTCGCCAACTTTGAGCCATGCTAGATCTCAGAGGTCAAATCTTTCGATGCCGATTGCGTGTCTGTCCGCACCCTCAAGAGATTCACCGCTCTCCCCACTAGGCGATTTCTCCCTTCTTCGACCTTCGTTCTTTCCGTGCAATCCTCCTTTAATCCACTCCTCCACCCACCTCTATTCGCCTTTTTCCGGCTCACTAATACTTCTCCGGCCCCAATTATGAGTACCTGCCTTGAATGACGTTTTGTAAAAAAGACCAACCGCATAATGAAGGGTACTGACGAAGATGGTATCGAAAACATCGTGAAAACCCCTCAAAATTGAAGTGCTGTCAGTGGTAGTGCTGATGTGTGAAGCTTGTATAAGCGACGTCGTCAATCTGATTTTTTCAGCGACCCAGTGGTCAAGTGGGTAGTCTCGCAGGTTTACCTTCACAGCAGATTTTTCGCATTCTTGATTATCAGACCCGGATTGGCGCCAAAGTGCTTCAGCGTCAAAACTAACACTATATTCACAGCTAGGACCAGTACCCTTTGCAAATGGGTTTTCTATCAAAAATTGGCGGAAAAAGTTCGCAGCGCCAAACTGGCGCCAAATGGCGCCGACGCCAAAAACGAACGCCATATTCGTGATCAGGACCCTGATTTACCCCACATGCCAAATTTCAGGAAAAATCGAGGTTTTGACCTAAC